GTGCCTCAGCAGCTCCTGAAATGCTTCATTCATCCCATTCTCTTGTTTAAAGGACTGTCAGGGAGACACTAATCCTGGTGGATAGGGGTCCCCCTGCTTAACTTTATGCCACAGCTCAAAACTGAGTAATTAGGTCTACTCTTACCCTGAAGAAAAACGGACTGTTGGCATTGTATCAGAAAGAGCTCTAGGAATCAGAGACCTGGGATCTAGTCCTTGTTCTGACACTTGCATTGGCAGAAGCTGAGCAAACCACCTAATCCCTCGGAGTCTCCATCTGCTCAACTGCAAAATGGGAACAAGAAGGAGTCCTTCAGCATTGGGCAGTTCGGCACAGTAAACAGTGTGTACCCTCAAGTAATGCTGTCTGGGTTCACATCCCAGCTTCTCCCATCTTACTAGTTATGTAACCCTGAAACATAGCCTCTCTGCCTCAGTTTCCTCATCTGTGAAACATATCTAGTTCATAGGACTGTTATCTACGAGGAATCACCTAAAGCTCTCATTGTAGGGTCTGGCCCTTAGCTCTTCCCATAACTGTCAGGTAGGCCCACTGCTGTCATGATTCGTGGGGGGCCCATGGGGGGAGATAAACATTTCCACCACAAGTAGGTATTTACTACAAGGATTAAAGGGCTTTGAATTACATGAACCCTTGATTTGTAGAAGGGTTTCGGAAAAACAAGTTCATAGGCCGAGGCTAATTCTGAAGCCCAAAAACATAAAGGAACATGACAGGAACCTGTGCCCTCGAGCGTGACACATACCAAATACTCACCAGACCACCTTCAACCAATTCGAACCACTTGGTAGTAATTTAAGGCGTTTGTGGGAAAAGAGCCACAGACCTTCATCTCCCTTTCTATAGAATTGATTTGCCAGCTCTTCTCTTTCTACAGACAACTCAGAAAGGCAGCAAAATATGATCCCATTTTTTTTTTTTAAGTCTAAAAGGTAACTGCCAGATCTGAGGTTTCTCATGAGAGGTTAAAACGATTAAAAAAGGAATTCATTAAGGTTGAGGGAGGGAGTTTACAAGGGCAGTGGTCTAACCTGGTTCTAAACTTCCCCACTTATTTCAACAAAGATATAAAGAGCTCTCCTTTTTCTTAAGTGTCAATTTCAAGTCAAAAGAACAGGTAGGAGGGCGCCTGGGTGGCTCAGTTGGTTGGGCGACTGCCTTCGGCTCAGGTCATGATCCTGGAGTCCCTGGATCGAGTCCCGCATCGGGCTCCCT